CCCTCGTTTCCCAAGGATGGAATTGTGCCTTTGAAACTGCTCTTCGTTTGGCTGTTTGATAGGAGTAGAAAGATTTTCACTGCCCCTAACTCACTTCAGAATCTGCACAAGCATTATTGTAACTCCATTTTGCCTCAAATATTTCCTTTCTTGTCAGAATCTGGTTCAAATCTCTTGTTGTGCTGGAAATAGAGTTTTAGAACTAAATCCTACCATTCATATGGATATTGGGAAGAAGAGGAAAAAGAAGGACACCATGTATTCGGATATCGGGCCCAGTGCAAAGAAAAGCTGTCGTCTTATCCCACCATCAGGTTATTTCCATTGTACTCGAACATAGTAATTGATATCAGAGTTGATTTTATCCACACTTTTTCATCGATTTTTCAGAAATATCACTGGGACCTTCACCAAGCAACGACTGGAGCGATACTGACAGCTCAGCATGTGGAGGTAGTCAAAATACCAGCACCTCCACTGGTTGTAGTTCTGCCGACCAGCGCGCTGGTACTGAAGTTCAACCTAGGTGAGTGATGTGTCAACGGAATTCGTTTGAATTTCTCTTCATTACTAGTCCAGAGATGAGTAACACATGCTCGATATGTGAGCCTATATTGGGCATCAGAACTCACCAAGCTCGTGGCGCGAAGTTGTGTAATTTCAAATTCATTCAAATTTGCGTCGTTTTTTGAGATTTTTACACTTTTAGGTTCTTTTTGATCTCTGGAGACACAGCTCCACATAGGTGTACTACTTGTTTCAAATGGCCTCACGTGCGCGACATTTGCACCACGACCCTAGTGATTTAATGCGTGTTTAGTCAGCTTACTCGGAGATACTCTGCAAGTTTGCGTCATGACAACGTCATTACCGTTATTTCCTTTGTTACCCTCATCACATACATGGCTTTCTACCTTCTTTCATGGCTTATCATCTGCACTTTGGAGTGCCTTTTTCTCCAATATTTTGTTTTTTTTCTACATCTGATTATAACTCTACCACTGAGAAAACCTTGGCGCAGTTTCTACAGGTTTATTCAGTGTCCTACCCTATGCCTTTCTCTGGAAGGAAAGCTCAAGTGATAGTAGTAAGGTTTTTTAAAAGTCTGAGTTTGCTCCAAAAATCCAAAATGAAAAGAGCTTTTTGTTTTGCAAAATTCTTTCTTTTTTTTTCTCCGAATATTTCGATTCTTTCAGTGAAAAACGTACAGATCGCTAAGGCATGTGCTAACCACCGAAGTTTTCGGAGAAGTAACAGACTAATTTCATATTCCAGATTCCTTGAAAAGAACTTTTAGATCCCTCTTTGAATCTTTGGAGTCTTCTGCAATGAACTCTTTGGTACCTCTTCAACTTTTCATCTCCAACAAGTCTTTGGGATAGCACAATACTGTGACGTTTTAGGAGTGTTGAGACGCAACCGGTTCATTCAGCTCCAACTTTTTCGCCAAAAGAAAACCTACAGCTCATCACCATACTGACATCAAATCACAATAGGTTGGCAGACATCTGAAGAGGTTTGTGGACGAGTATACGTGCATGATTAGGTCTGTCGCCTCTAAACTCATAAGAATTCGTGTGTTCTGCAGATACAGCGAGACAACCATTGTTGTAATCCATCTGTAGCGATCGATGATGCGGACTTCTCTGAAGGAGAAATAGCGCAAGGTAATTACTCCAAGGTTTCCCCTCAAGCAATAGTTTTTCTTTTTGGAACAATGTTTCCAGGCGAGCAAAGAACTCCCATTGAAGAGTTCAGTGAGCTTCAACCGGTTGAATCGCAGTGCCTTACCTTTTTACTGGACTATGATGCTGATTTCGCTTGTGGTAAGCGGCAAACGATTCTGGTGGGCGACCTTCTTTTTAGTGAATTTATTGCTCAGACACTTACCCTCAAGCTCCTGAACCGGCGGTCAGTTGCCTCACGAATGCTGATGGTGTTGATTTTGCCGACCCCTTGGAAGATCTACGTGATCTCTCGCTGGACTCTTTCGCTAGTTTGTTTAACAGTGGAGAGAACGCGTATGCTGAGCCATGGTACGACTTGAATGGAACATTCGGCCCTTTTTGAGTTCTTTCGCAAAGTTTTAGCAGAATACTGTAAGAGATCATAACAGTCTAATCTTGCTTTTTCACGGGAATTGGCTTACCATATAATGGATTTTGTAATATGATTCCTAAAATATAGTGCTATTGTAGTTTTCTTGTAGATGTTTTTTTCTTGTAAATGTGGTTATTTATGTAAATGTCTGTATATAAGTTCTCTAATCTTTTATAGGTTTTTAGAAGAGTTTTCCATCCTCTCGATATAGTTAGTAGTTGTTCCAAACGTTGTTATATTGTTATTTTTTTGAAGTGGCCAGGTTTGCTAATAATGAAATATTTCTATGACAGCAGTGGTTAACGTTGTTTAATGGCACTTGCAGCACGAAGCAGATTACCGATTACTATCTGATTTTTCATATTATTTTTACAGAGACTTACGTTGCCGTTTGTTGAACTATCTAGTTTATTTTTTTGAGATGAAGAAAGATGAGGTGGGAACGATGATGTTCGAATAGCAGAGGCTATTCCCCCGTATCAAGGGGCAGTCTAGGCTGGACCAAAAGGGACAGCTCCATCGTTTTGTGGGTATTGGTAGGGTTACCTCCTTCTTCGATTCATACTTCTCTTGACATTTAGTTACTTTTTTAGGTTGTTCGACCCCCCCCCCCTCGAAGCAGTGAAGGAGGCTTCGAGTGGGTCGAATAACATCAATAACGCCGGAGGCCAGGCCAATGTCTTATGCACATTTTGGGCGCTGTGCCTACAAGCTGTAGCATTTTGGTGCAGATCACCCAAGGTATGAAG